CTAAGTATTTTTCTCGTGAACTTATGTCGCAGTTGTGGAGTCCTGAATCTTATTTGCTTCTTTCTGTGCATTTCTCGATTCCATTGTAAAGCCTGCTCGAGGTTATGTATGGTTTTTGTTAATAAATTTGTTGACGTTTGACTGAGTTTCACGAGCAGAAAACTTTGAGAAATGAAACCCGAAGAGACCAAGGGCACAAGGTAAGTAGAGAGGGAAGCCTGGAGAAAACATAGAGGACGCAGCAATGCGTTTATAAGAGCGTAGGCCGCAGGCTCTGTAATCGGAACATTACGGTGTCTTCCACAAGTGTTCCGATTTTGTCCGGAATGTGTCGGTCAGGACACCTGTTGCTCACTTTTGACCCGAAACAAAATCAGGGTCCTGATTGGTCCCGACACCGGCTCCGGGAGTCACGTAGGAGTTTGACGCGCTGATTTCGAAAATACACTTTGAAGAGCACGAAATTTCCGAAAATCAGCATTTTTTCAGGGGTTCTCATTTTGAATTTGGACGAGTGGACCACTCCCGCCATGGTTAGAGACGTAGTGTCGTTGCGGGACCCTCATGTTTATAGGTTGCGGAATGCCGCCTTTGACGGTGGGAGGGGGACCGCAAGCTCGTTTGAGCGCATATAAGAATGACTTGCGCGCACGGGGTTAAGGGCAGTTTTCTAGGCAGGGTCAGCATATAGTGCGCTCGGACCTGCTCTGTTTTGATGTTTGGGAGCAAGCAACCTTCTATATCAAAATTTCGAGACGTTTGGTTTTGCCGAGCCACAGCCTTTGAACCTAACAAATATTAGGTTGTAAAGAAAGTTCCCGGACACTTGCGAAAAATTTTTTCGATTCGCTGTAACTTCAAGCCAATTGATTCTCATTTGAAGCTACAAACTTTATTGCAAAGAGAACTTTGTCCACAACATGTACGTGTCTTCCTAGCTTATCAGCACCTCACTGCGGTCCACCAGCATGCGCAGAAGGGAAAAAGGTCGTCGCGAGAAGTAGCCTATTTGTGCAGGATTATCTCAGGCAGGATAACAGATGCAGACCCCAAATGCTGCAGTTATATAGAAGTCTGTTGGGGCTGTTATGAGGACTATTCATATCTTTAGGGGGCCACCTGCAAAAAATTTTTTTCCAAAAAGTTTGAAAAATCGGCCATTTTTTGCCTCTAAAATGCACCATTTTTCGAGTAAGTGACTTTAAAATCTTCTAGTCCTGCACAGAAAGGACCAAGTTTTTGATTACTGGGAACATCGTTGGAGTAGTGCCTTGCACATCTTTTGGACCCATCATCCAGGCACGGCTATCTCCGCAGAAGCGACGCCAGCTGCGAGAGTTGCAGTAAGAGGCAAGTTCGACAGCTTGTAATTTCGGAGCACAAAACGCAATACTCGAGTGCAGCTGCGGGTCAGAAGTTAACAGGCCTCTCAATCAAATACCCAAGATTTGGACGAAATTCTTGAAACTGCACAAAAAATGGCCGTGGGAAGAAAAATTGTGAAATTTTTGTGGTTGGAAAGATCTCACTTCTTGACATGCAGATCAAACACGTCTTGGCATCGATAAAAGCCAGAAGGCTTGTTGAAAAATATGAGCTTTCCTCTACTGAACAGTATAAAAAACTTAGTGTCAAAGTCCGACCAAGCGTCGAAAAAATGCGTTTGAAAATGAAATTTCCAATAGTGCCCGGGAACTTTCTTTACAACCTAATAGTAATACTTATAACAATCTTGGTCGAGGCTTGGAACTAAATATAAGGATTCATCACAATGGCAAGATTTATCGCTATCCAAAATCAAACATGGAATATCACATGAAAGGTATTTGTGTGCGTACGTGTCACATGCTTTGGTATACACCAAGCTGGTACCACTACGTTGTATAACTGTTTATTCGATAGTAGCGGAGCAGCCGCTGGCTATCAACAGTGAATATGCGGACAGCCGCTGACGATAGTGGTAATAATCGAGCCAACACCAGAACTGAGTATTCAAGCCCTTTTATGCCACTATTTTGGGCGTGGATAATCTGAATGCTCACTTCTGGTAAATAATAGTATCATACAGAATCAAGGATTGCCTACATGAAAGTAGGCGCCGCCAAGTAGACTATCAAGCACAGTCGAGGGGTGACCTGGCGGCTTAAGTGGTCAGAGAACAGTAACGTTTGTCAACGACATGCTATTGAATAATATAACATACATGATAGATCTACATTGCTAAAGGTTGTAGATTATTTGGATAGTCTACGACACATGCTGACCAAGCAGGAGGGTTGTGGATTTGCTTAGGATCACGTTCAAGTCGAGACACTCAGTTTTATTTTGGCTCCAAATTTTATGCATATTACGAATTACGTGTTTTTGTATATTCGGCTGTGGCTGCTGCGAATCATTACTTATATACGAGTTTAATAGCTATCAACTTGTCACAGATTTGTGATTGATATGCTTTCAATCAAAGAAAACAACGTGTTGCATATTTTGGCTCCGAAGCTTGCACCGCTCTAATTGAGCTTCGACACATCCACCTTGATCGACTCAATGAATGGGCTCAATTGAAATCTTGTTTTTTTTTTCAAACTTTCGTTTCTCACTGAGCTCAATGAACAAACTTCTGCTTGCTTCAACACTGCAATTTCGAGATTCACATGCTTTCGGAAAATGCCCAGATTTTTTTAAACATCAAATCAATCAACTAGCGAATATTTATAGCACACAACGCTATCTACATAACGGCGGAACTGGGTGCCAGTGAAGAGAGAAGAACAACAAAAAAGCAATACTTACTTTTCAAGTTTATGCATGCAAAAAAATTTCTTACAAAATACTATGTAGGAACATCCGAAGCTTGTGTGACGCATTACTCTTCCCGTGTTAGCCTTCTTCTTATGCATTAACATTTCTCTGAGGAGAGCTATGCAGCTCAAAGGATCTTTACTTTAAGCTTTGGAATTCTGGATTTCACACTGTCTGTCCATTTCCATAAGGTTTCTGCTACCCTTTACTGCAAACATATTGAACAAGAGCGCATTGTTGTGACACCAAATAATCCTTGGCGGCCGATCGCCTTTTTCAAAGCTATGTGTTTCATCTGAGACCATCGCAAAATTGTACTGCTTAAATGAGTGGTAAGCCCCTTTTTGATTGAAAAAACAATGACTCGTTTGAATATCGTGATTTTCGACAAACCCCAAGTTTCGAATTGTGATCATCATTATTACTTCGATGTTTTATTTATTCCTATCAGAAGCATGATCAGCACTATTGGGTTGGATAGTCAGTACAATTTCGAGACAATTTCATTGAGGTTTGCAGAAAAAAATAATGTTGAGAATAGCTGTCGGCCCCCAGGAAACGTCGGAAAAAGCTGTAAAATATGGCTAATACAACAATGCTCTTCTGTTCAACATGTTTGCAGTGAAGGGCAGCCAAAAACACTTGAGAATGGATAGACAGTGTGAATTTTCTGCAGGAAATGGAGCTTTATTCTAGATGCGTTATCGTCCCGGTAAGGATGTTCATATGTACATCCGGCTCTTATTCGTCATGAAGCATAATTTTGATGGGTGTGTATGACCATCGAATTTCTGCGGTAGACTTATCACGATGTCAAAAACTGTACTCCATATGAGAGACCGAAACCGTTATCTATCCAGTTTTCTTGAGCTCAAAACGAGGCTTGATTGCGCTTCACAACAGTAATCGGTACGCTAAATTTTTTCGGTTCACTCTTCGAATTTCATCTGTGGTCCATCCCTTCGAAATTTCTACGCTGTAAATTCTTCAAGATGTTCCTGTCTGTAGCTTTGAACTGGGCATAACTTTGGAGTTCCAAGCAGTCAGACAAAAATATCATAACTGACAGCGGTAAGAAATGATATGGAATTTTCGGAGATTGACTCGTAGAAATTTCGTAATTACAGGGTGGGGCAAAAGTCTGGGAGCCTACTTTGCAGTGCTGTAAATCAAGAAACTGCTGATGATTTTGACTCCAAATTCGTACCACATATTGCTGCGATCATTCCCTACAAATCACACTTTGGCTGGCTGAAAATGCTTGCCATATGTTTTTGCAGGAGTTGGATTTATCGAACAAGTGCTCTGCAAAGCGAGAAAATCGAAATTTTTAGTCTTCACAACTGATTTCGTAGCTAAAGACACAGTGGATATTCTAGAGTAGTTCAATGCATACAATGTAGAGGAGACTTTGCGCTATCAATCCGTAGTCGTTATGTTTGTCAGTTATCATTCTTTCGAAAACGCAAAATAAAAATTTGCGATTACTGCCTGCGTGCTAGTGGCCATTTTCCTTCAAAATAAATTTGAAACTTATAGAAGCACAGCAGGCACTGAATTCTAAGCTACATTCTTTTCATGAGTCTTCTATGCAAGCATGTGCTTGAATTCGATCGATCAAGCAATTTCAATACTTTTTAAATTACGATTCTTCGCTCCCGTTTGCCCAATCGCATCCAGATTTCCAGTGTGCGAGCACACTTGCCTTCAATTAAAATTCCAAAATTTTTTTCCTAAACGCTGCAAAAAAAATTTCCTCGCAGTACGTTGTAGCCAGGAGCTTGCTCTATCACATCGCATATTTGTCTGGTGAAAGAAACACTTATCGTGAAGGCGTGGAACGAATTTCATAACGACTGTCTGCGTGCCGCAACAGGCGGACTCGCCAAAATTTCGAAGGGCTGCTTTGAAGCCAGAAGAGCCAATCTCAAAATTTGACAGCAGCGCTGTATTTGTAAGGAATCGATTTATGTGTGCACCAAATTTTTTGTTCCTAGGCACTTTTCTTCTGATTTCATCTGAAAAAGTACCAGGCTCCCAGACTTTTGCCCCACCCTGTAAAACGAGACTTCGTTCTAGAACAAGAACGGCTCGCACTGGGCATCCGCACTATTTCGGTCGGAATCATCTATGTGTTCTCTGGATTTTCACTCGTTTGAAAGCACGCATTGTATTATTTATTACATATTATCACAGCACACAACTGAGTATACAAGTGAACGGTTATATATAAAGTATACGAGTGAATGAAACCATCTGATGAAGTAATCAAGAATTAAACAGACTTATATACATACCAGTAGATACTACCCAAAGAAAGTGTGGCACATTGCACACAAAAAAGTACGCTTTACATTTGGCACCTCTGAACGACAGCCTTTTCATTGGTCGTAGATCATACGAATATTTCCAGATATCGTCTTATTCATCACTAGAGCGAGTATGAATAGTGGAACAACGTAGAAGATCAACGATGGCTTCCAGATTGATGATGGAGCAGCCGCGCTGGCAAATGTGAATTCTACTTCTAGAAAAAAGATGTTCTTTATGGAGAGGATTTACAGAAAAGTTTACCTTTGAGCGCTTGAGATCTGACTGGTGTATGATGTAGAAATAAACATATGGCTAATAGAACAATATGCTGACGTGATGACATCTTTCTGAAATAGTTTGTTGGTGAGGGTGACAGGTCCTTTTTAACAGGAAGGAGCTTAGAAGTTCATGACGCATGCAAAGTCAGCAAATAATAGAAAAAAAGAAATTTCAAATACAACACTACCCAGGACATTATGAAAAACACCATATTCTCTTCCAACTGCAACTTCGTTCCATGAAGTAAGTGCTTAGGCAAATTATGTAAATGGGCTTTTTTGGTGTATACCAATTGAAAGACCACAAGTAAAGTTATCCAAGCCCATTGAGTTTATTCGCGACTGAGATATTCAACTCTGAACTCTCCCCCGCTACAGTAATCGAGGTCGATTACGAAAGAGTAACTGGGCGAGAGTTCAACCGCGCCAAGAAATGCGCAAAAAAATCGGATAAAAATTGTTTGGTACTGGAAGTGTAAGTAGAAATCTGGCTTTAGGCACAGTATCTTACAGAGGAGAGGGATATTCTCTGCAACACGTGGAAAAACTAGTCTGAGTAAGATTTTGCGATGAATAAAAATATTTCACTCACTGAATAACTGAATATTACTCGGAAGACGAGTTTAAAAACAGGTCTCAAGCCTTCTCCAAACTGCGTTTGAATTTCCCCGCCAGCCCCTTTAAGCACCCTGCTAACGCCATGGAAATTCCGATTAACACGAGGTGGTCTCCAGCACGGCGCTGTCACGATGCTGGCACGGGCTGGAGCGGCGTTGGCACAGGAACAATTATGGTCTCTTTAAATCAAGATTCATTAATCTACATAAGTCTCTGAATAAGGAGTCCATCTTGGCATTTATCGTAGGAAAACCCTGAGTAGTCATGATCATGAAGGAAGCACGTGATAAGCACGGAAATAAGCTTTTTCCTATGAAATCTATTTCAATAGTTGGTGAACCCTCTATGTAAGTAAACAAGTCAATAAATCGATTGTGGGGTCTAACAAATCGTTGCAAAAAGTAGTCCATCTTGTGCGCCTTGTTTTATTTATAGGGGGACGAATAGCCTCAATGGTTCACACACAAAAAACGGGTGGAGGACAACATGTCGCCGAATTTAGAAGTCCCGCGCGGATTCCTTGCAGGCGCATGTCCGCGCATGTACAAGGGCGCGTATTTGTCGCAAATGACCGCGGGGACCGCCCTTTTTCGGCGACATATAGTCCTCCACCCACAAAAAAGTTTATAAGCCACATACTTACTAACGAACAAGTTTGCAGAGTTTCAGTTTTATTTATATAAAGATTCCAAAAACAAACCCAAGTCAGAAAGATAGAAACACGAATGCCTACAGTTTGAGGGATCGTATGAAACAACTGGTGTAATTCTGTTGCTATACGATTGCGTCCAACATTTATGCGACAGGTTTCCGGCAATTACTGACACTTGCACTGACACTTCTATCGAGAAAGAAACAGTGCAGAACAAGTTTCGATTTCCAACCGTTGTTATAGCGAACGAATGCATTTCCAAGAGTTGTTATAACGAACGAATGTGTTTTTCATAAATCTGCAGTAACAATAGAAATTATGAAAATTTTTCTGTTTTCTTGAAATTCTCCAAATTTTCCCAATTTTTTAGGCTCGTTATAATAGACTTGTTCAAAACGAATCTTTTTTTTTATTTTTGTATATCATAAATGCCATGGAAGTTGCAACTTTTTATGCTAACTAGTGACCCAATTAAAGGTGCTAGGTTGCATCCGCGCGCGCTGGGACCGCCACGCGGTTTCCCGCTTTGCAGATTTTTGAATTGAGCTTACGTTTCTTTAAATATTAGATTAGATTATATTACAAGCAGCCCAAAAATTGAAAAATTTAGACTTAAAATCTTCTGAAGATGTCTTGCTATGGGCGCTCTTTTCAGTTAAAAGGAGTAGTCACAAAGCTAAACCGAATATAAAATTTCAAATTTCGCAGCATTTTCACCGATTAATTATAGAAAATCTAACAGTTTCTTTTACTGAAATTTGCCAACAATAATTCTTGCAATGGGCGCGTCTGGAGAGCTTGACTTTCTCTTCAGGAAACCGTGAAATTTTCATCAAAAATGGAGAATATTATTGATTTTCAAAAAACTAGGAGCGAGACGTAAGGAGGACAACCTAATGTACCTCTTCTAACTGAGAATATAATTTAGAAATCTAGGAAGGCTAACTTGATTCAGCTATCTGAGCCGGAGAGGAGAAGAATCTTATTACATAGAACATCTCAGATTAGCATTCATCTAGACTATTAGCCACGATATGAAAAACTGTGACGACGGACACGGAAAGAATCCTAATGTCAATCAATCACTTCATAAAACACTAATCTCAGCGACGGAGAGTTCTAAAGATCAAAATTGTCTGTGGATTTCCGTTACGAATGTAGGGAATGACTGATTGCAAAATGAATGTGGGATGGGTAATAAGCAGGGTAAAGCGGGGGGTGCGGCACGCCGCAGAGGGGGGGTCGTATTGAGGAGTCAAAAGGGGAGGGGGTCGTAGTTAGGTGATCTGATTATAGCGATAACATGATATTCGTATCATATCCATAATTAGCACGTCAATTAACCCCTGTAGACAAAGTGTGAGCGAATTTTGAAGATTCAAGATACTAGGCTACCTAGGTGAAATGGTCAAATTCCAACATGGTTAACTTTGTTTTAAAGGTGAATTAGCTATCCGTTTTTGCACTCAAGACAAAGCACTACTCCTTCTTTGTCCACCTCAGGAATCCCGCTTTAGAAGACCTCCAAACTGTGGAATTAGAAGCCAACCAAAATCTCATTTTTCCCATTTTTCGCTTTTGATGGCTGTGCTTTCACCAAATATTACTCAGAGCTAAGAAGACGAATCAGGCTCAAAACATCCCTATGGAATCTACGAGGTTTAGGCTATCGATTCATATAAATATTGTCCGCTAAAAATGTTTTTTTGATATAGTTAATGGCCTGCGGCACCCCCCCTCAAAACCTGCGGCTGCCGCAGGGGTGCCGCAGGGGTGCCGCAGGGCCATTAACTATATCAAAAAAACATTTTTAGCGGACAATATTTATATGAATCGATAGCCTAAACCTCGTAGATTCCATAGGGATGTTTTGAGCCTGATTCGTCTTCTTAGCTCTGAGTAATATTTGGTGAAAGCACAGCCATCAAAAGCGAAAAATGGGAAAAATGAGATTTTGGTTGGCTTCTAATTCCACAGTTTGGAGGTCTTCTGAAGCGGGATTCCTGAGGTGGACAAAGAAGGAGTAGTGCTTTGTCTTGAGTGCAAAAACGGATAGCTAATTCACCTTTAAAACAAAGTTAACCATGTTGGAATTTGACCATTTCACTTAGGTAGCCTAGTATCTTGAATCTTCAGAATTCGCTCACACTTTGTCTACAGGGGGTATTTGACATGCTAATTATGGATATGTTGTCCATTATGTTTGACAGAGCCTTCAGGTAATACTATCTTAAGTGTATAGTTTAGGAGGGGGGTCTTATTAAGACAGCAATCAGGGGGGGGGTCGTATCCGACGGTTGAGTGCCGCACCCCCCGCTTTACCCTGGTAATAAGGAACTGCGAAGAAAGCAGCTATAGGAATGCAAAGTTTCAAATAAGAATTCTCGGACATTTTCAAGCAAAAAAATCGCCATTTTGCAGAATCTAGATAGACATATGTATCAGGATTTGGGATCCTTAGGGGACGTAGTCAGCTAATTACTTTTTCTAATTTTTGGCATGTGTGTGAGTGTCTATGGTATTGAAGAAGAGAAACCGTTTGTAGTGCTGCTTAACACATTCACGATAAGGCCAATTTTTCGATGACTGCCACTTCGGACCAGAGCATATTTCGCTATATTAAGTTTGCGTGATATTCCCTGGCCACTGTTGGATCCTATGATCTGAAATGTTATCCTTTTGGGAAGTATTACAAGAGATTTATGCAGCGTTTATACAGTTTGCCCGAAACGTTCATCGTAAACTAACAAAATCAAAAACTTGAGAAAAAAGCATACGACCCACCGGTGGATCATATTGTCTGAATGTCAACACTTACGACCCACTGGTGGGTCGTATTGTCGTGAATGTGTTTAATTGAGTGCAGGCAAGATCCTGTTTTCGAACATTGGCTAATATTTCCATATCAATAATCATGTCCGTGTTTGTTTTGGACTTGCTTTTACTCAAAAGTATGCCGATTGTCGCATCAGTATTCACACTAAAGCAGGAAGAAAACAAAAACTTCTCGAAAAGTAATGTCCGAGAATTTTCTTTTCAGCCTAATTCCAAAAATGAAAAGAGCAAATGCATGAGTAACTCGAATCGGAAGCATTGTAGTGCGAGTAAAGGCATGAACCAACATAGAAATGAAGTGAATATAAACCAGGAAGGTCGCCGCATGATCTGGGTTGTAAGAAAGAGGTTGTGGAATAAAACTGCTGATAGCTTTGCGCACGGAACACCATGAATAGAAAAATGTGCTGGAACACATATAAGCGTAAATTAATTGTGATAGTGAGATCACATCAGTTAATGAATGAGATCATGGGGAAGTGTTTGAATGAGCTTTCCTTCTTATTGTTTCAGCCAAAGCTGAAGCAGTTCAGTATTAGTCGACTACGATGATTTTTGATGAATATGGCATTTCAAGCAACCAAATGCATATGCTGAATTTGAATTAGTCAAGAGTTTGATACTGTGGGTGATATGAGAAGAATGATAGAAAGGGATTGAATCGCCTTGCGCTCGAATTCTAAAATTTTGCTGCCTTTCATTCCAACAAATCCGTTGAATTTGTATAACTTTGACTGTAAAAAATCAAGCAATTTCCACCAATGCACAGTATGCGTTTGAGTTCCTCGTGCCAGCACCATCGATCAATCAATAATGGGCGCGTCCACAGGCGCTGCACGGCAGTGGCACGACGATAGCACGGCGCTAGCACAGGGGCATCAGACGCAGTCTCGGAACAAAAATAAGGTTTAACACATCGTGGCCATACTAGGTGGTAAAGAAAAAATCTCAGTAATGCTCTTCT